AAAAAAAAAAAACAAGTACCCTGCTCTGTGCTTTTGCTTCACCTCATCTAGTGCAAGGTTGCAAGGGTCGATGATACGCAGCGGCCACCGGTATAAGGGGTCAAGGTCGCTCTTGGTGTGCCTTATCCGTCATCAGTGGAAAGTTGTGATTTTGTTCTGGGTGTTTGCGCTTCTTACTGTTGCTGTCGTCGTTCCCCGGCGGTCTGGGCAGTTGTGGCCCGTCTCCGGGCAGGTGACAACCGATCTGGCACGTATTACGGATGCTGTCAACGAGCTTGTTGCGGAAAGCTCGTTCCTATCGATACACCACGGTATCTACAACGTCACAAGCTTTTTGGGGGACGGCTCTGGAGATGCTATTAGGTTTGCGTTTAAGACCGAGTGCCGGCCGGCGTCGCAGTGGCACGGCCAGCAGGGGTGGGCAGAGGTCGCGTTATACCACTTCCAGCGGTTGTTCTACGCGGAGGATGTGGTTGCGTACCCACGAGTCGGTGCAGCGCGTGGCGTGGTGATCGCCATTACCCAAGAGCAGCTAGAAAGTGTGGTGCACAAGGATGGGTGTGGGGTGTTGCGGAATGATTTAGTGGCGTCGATGGAGACGGCATTGGGGGGAAAGAAGCTCCTTCGCGGAGTGGAACGAGGCGGTAACCGTGCCAACAGCAATGCGACCGTGCTTCTGCTCGGTGTTGCCCTCACATGGCAAGACAAGTACGACGATGATGAGTACCCTTCCGCTTCGGTGTATGCACCTTACTTTGCCGTCCCGCCATCGAGCAACGGTGTGCAGCTTGGACCTCGTGCCCGCCTTGATCTGTATGAGATGACGGATATCTTCGTCTTGGATTACCTTCTGCTGAACCCCGACCGTAACTTGGAAAAAAACTGGTTCACAGACAGAGCCACACGTACGCACTCAGGCTTCCTTGATAATGGCTGGGGCTTTGCCGGGGAGAATTACAAGACCTCGGTGTGTGAAGTTGAAAGTGTGCTGCTGCAGTGCCCATCGCTGCTGCAGGCGTGGGTGAAGAGGCAGAAATGGCAATGGAAGTGCGCTTCGCGGCATCCCATGACTCCTGGAACGGAGACGCAGCATCAGTTGCTGCGGTGGTGTCGCTTCCGTCCCGAAACACTTGTGGCACTCAATCGAACACGCATGCGGTGGTATAACGAGCAGAACCCCGATGCCGCGCTGGCAAAGCGCTGGGTGGATGCCATTCGCTCTGATATACTCCTAGTGTTTTTGTTGTACACATATGGTGAAAGCACGTCAAGGAAAGGGTTGAATATGGCACTGTCGCGATACGTCCACAAATGTCCGCCGCCCGTGCATGGTGCAGAGACCGGACGCGAGGCGGCGTCGCTGTATCTCATGCGGCTGCTGGAGTATGGTGTTCATGCCCGCATGGACCGACTGGCCGCTCACGCAAGAGAGTGCCTTGTAGACTATGGTGAAGCATATGTCTATGGGCGTGACGTGAAGAGTTGAAGTTGCTCGTTTCGAGGTCTCTTTGGGCGCAGGTTTTGTTTCTTTGCTTGCTTCCGTGGGTGTTTTTTTTTTCTCTGTTTTACCCCCATGGGTCTCCCGAGGATTGAGGTGTAAGCACACATCCGTGTGTTTGCGTCTCCGTCATGACGGGTGCGTGGGTTATCTTGTTACGGGTGTGCGGGATGAACACGCTGTCCCCCTCATAAGAGGGATGTGTGTGTGTGTGTGTGTGTGTTTGTGTGCATGCTATTATTGTTGTTGTTGCTGTTGCACATTCCGCGCAGGTGTTTGTGTGTGAAAGAGAAGGCGGGAAGTAAAGGGGAATCGTGTGCGAAAGAAGGAAAGGGCCGCAGCGTCTCACGTACCTGTCGGAGTTAAATGGATGGCACAGCGCTTGACAACTTGGATGTATTCGGCATCTTCGATGACCCGCCGCCGCCTGATGCGCACCTCACAGTAGGACAGTACGTGGGCATTCTGCAGCAGCTCGCTCAGCGCCTCGGCCTCGACGACGTCGCATTCCGCTTCAACTTGCCCCCATCTGCCGCTGCTGCTGAAGAGGAGGACGCAAGCTGCCAAGGTAATAGCAGCTGTGGTTGTGGAGTGTGTGGCCACCCACCACTGTGCGCCCACCTCGCACGCGAGGGCGGACGTCGTGTGATGCAGCAGCCGCATTCGCTGCCGACTGTTGCGTGTGAAGACGCGGACGAGGCCCTGCGTGGCGCGCCGCATGTGCACTGTCTCTTCTGCCTGCAGGCTGGTCAAGAAGAGGGCGGCGGCAGTGGTCCAGTTATGGCTCTGAACCTGCGCCACGCCGTTCTCGCGCACTATACGCAGCACATGCAGACGCGAGACGCCTGTCTGACACTCCTCGACGAGGAGGATGACGAGTCGCAGATGGGGGCATTGGAGGTCACGGCAGAACGCGAGGGACGGCACGTGTGCTTCATTGCATCTGCCGGCACCGCGGCGTGCCCGATTGTTGTGGCGTATTGTGCGGCGTGTGACCAGCTGGCACCATTAGCGACGTTCGCCACGGAAGCAGCAGTGGCAGCAGAAGCGAACAAGCAGCAGAGGGAGGCGCAGAGTGTGGAGACAGCGGGTTGTGTGATGGCGCGTCTCCTCCTCGCCTGCGACTTGCTGTTGGCGGTGCGGCGCGAGCGAGAAACCGAAGGGCGTATGTCGCAGCCTCTTGTTCACGCGGAATCGTACATTTTCCTTCCAACGCCGTTTCTCTTTGGTGAGGATGAGGCGGAACTAACTGAGATGTTTGAGAGCGGGGCGATGATGACGCATACCTCTGCTGTTCTGCCGTCCGCCACGGTGAGTGGGACACCTGCCTCGCCGCGGCTGCGGTTGCTGGAGTCGGCGGCGGCGATGGAGTTGATTTTTCGTGGTTTGCCCCCCTACCACTTCGCCGACGCGGTGGTGGGGTTTGTGATGCAATGGCCCACCGAGGCAGCGACAGACGAGAAGGTGGCTTGGGTGCTGCGGCAGCGAGCCCATATTGCCGTGCAGCGGCGGCTGGTGTATGTGGAGGACATCGATGAGTGGGTTATTGCGCGTGTGTTTCATCACCTCGATGCTTCGTCCGCCGAGAGCAGCGGCAACAGCAGCAGCAGTTTGTTGGAGGACCCGTACGGAACTATCCGCAGGCGGAAGGACTGTCGCATCACCAAGATGGTCTCCTTGACGCTCATACAGCAGTACACGCTACGGGGGTCTGAGAATGGTGGAAACGGGATCAGCAATAGCAATGAGATGGATGGCTGCCCGTACAGCATGGAGGCTAGGGCGGTGAATTTCTTTGCTGGCATGACGGCACTGGCCAAGGCGATGGAGATGACGGTAACGTTTTTTTAACGGTGAATGAACTGCACGAAACGGGCGAGGGGGCGCAACGCAGGAAAGGGAAAATATATATATANATATATATATATATATATATAAGGGGGGTGGGTGTCTCGTGTGGCGTGAATTATTCCGGTGTTGTTTCCCTGGAACGAGAGGTCTTGCAACTGAGAAGCGCTGGTGAAGGGAGAGAGAAGAGTTGGTTGCGGTTGTGCAGTTGCTTGTTCTTGCGTCATCTCAGTGCTGCCGTGGCTCTCACGGAAGAGTTTTGTTTGCTTGCCTTTCTTTGTGGGCTCGATCTGCGCTTTGTCTGCGGCACGCCCCACCGCGAAGCTCTCCGAGGGGAAAGCGCACACCAAACACAAGGGGTACACAATACCAGGATCAAGAGCAGTGCCAGCAAGGGCCACCGCAGCAGTGGCAGTGGCAGCACTCAAAGAAGGGGAAGAAGAGAGAAGAAAGTAGCCGTTTTGTAAGCAAGTCTTCGTTCGGCTCGCAAGTGTCGGTTTGTCTTTTTTTTTT